AGCATGTTTTCTTAATCAAGAAGGTCAGCAAGATAGACATGTCTTATAATGAATAGACTGAAGATAGACAGAGACATGTCTTTCACATAAATCTATACAATATAATTCTACTGAGCATAATTCTATACAATTCCACATCGCATAATTCTCTAATTATAATCCTACATCATTATTCTATACATATTCTTGTATTTTAAGTTTACATGACGGTATGTTGGTGCCGCTTATAACTCATTATACAACTTTATGTAATTTGCATTATGTATGTTTCTACATTATATAATAGAACATTGTATAATTTCTACATTATACAATTCTGCATAACACTCTTCTTCATTGTATAAATCATAGAGCGTCGTACTGTGGGTATGAGGAAGGATTTGTGTGTGTGTGTGTGTGTGTGTGTGTTGTGTGTGTGTGTGTGTGTGTGTGTGTGTGTGTGTGTGTGTGTGTGTGGTGTGTGTGTGTGTGTGTGTGCGTGTGTGTGCGTGTGTGGTGTTTTAGACTGTCTAATCCACGTGTGTGTTAGAGTGGCTTTCCAATCAGTTAAAATAAGAGAAAGTTGTCAGGCGACCGGGAGCAGCAACTCGACTGCCTAAAAGTGCGTCGAGATAAACGATTTGCATTCTAACTACTGAGTCCAGTGTTCGTTCGTTTTTTTGTAATAAGTGCTAGGTAATTACTTAGCTATCTATTTCAGGTAATCTCCGAAATGCAAGTGTGTGTGTGTGTGTGTGTGTGTGTGCAGACTGCTGGTATCTTTTCTTACTGTCTTATCAACACGCAAGATAACAGGTACATCTTGCTACTTCTACTTACACTTACATCACACTACTCATGCATGTACCCGCATATGTATACACACCCAACTGAGGTTTCTTCAAGTGTCTTAATAGTTCTTGTTCTTATTTATTCCCTTTCATCTCCACGGGGAAGTGGAGAAGAATCCTTCCTCCGTAAACCATGTTTGTCGTAAGAGGCGACTAAAATACCGGGAGCAATTGGCTAGTAACACCTTTCTCCTGTACACATTACTAAATTTAAAAAGAGAAACTTTCTTTTTTCTTTTTAGGTTACCCTGCCTCGGTGGGATAGACTGTTTGTTATATATATATATATTTTAATATATATATAAAATTATATATATATTATATATATATATATATATATATATATATATAATATATATATATATATATATGCAATAAGATCACAGTAAACAGGTGATTTCAAAATATGCAAAACAACCACTCTGAAAAAATAGAGAAATTCCAAGCGCTTTCGTGACTACTCACATTATCAAGGAACCCATCCATAGTTTCCTTGATTTAATGTGAGTAGTCACGAAAGCGCTTGGAATTTCTCTATTTTTTCAGAGTGGTTGTTTTGCATATATATATATATATATATATATATATATAAATATATATATATAAATATATATATATAATATATGAAGAAATATCGAAAGACAGGCGAGTATATAATAAAATAATCCATGAAATTATAAAATTTGCTTAAGGGCTTTCCAAACAAAAGCCTCGTCAAAAAGTGAGTTATTTAATGAATTGGCTGAGGGATTAGTTGAAAAATTCTAAGAACAGTTAATTCCTAGCATTTATTGAACGGCTAAGCTTAGGTCTCTTTTTTCTAACCTCACCACCTCGCAGTTAAGTAATGTAGGGTTGATAGAAAAAGCACAAAAAATAGGCCTATTGACCTACACTAGGCCTTTTTTTTTATGGCGGCTGGTTATGTGTTTACAAGCAGGTTTGATATGAGGAAGGGGTAGATCAGCTCCTCCAGTTCTTTGGATCAGGAGCTCTTCACCGCCCAGCATCAAGCAAATGTACAGTAGATTTAGAGGAGAATTAGACAGCCAGAGTTAGAATTTAGGAGATTTGGCTCTCAGAACCTGCAAAGTTAGCCAGGTCATTACAACAAGGTCATTACAAAAAGTTAATGACAGGTAATGACAGCCAGGTAATGACAACCATGCAATGACAGCAAGGTAATAACAAGGAGATAATGACAGCAGGTAATGACAGCCAGGTAATGACAACCAGGCAATGACAACCAGGTAATCACAACCAGGTAATGACAGCAGGTAATGACAGCCAGGTAATGACAGCCATGTAATGACAGCCAAGTAATGACAGCAGGTTATGACAGCAAGGTAATAACAGCCAGGTAATAACAACCAGGTAATGACAGCTAGCTAATGACAGCCAGGTAATAACAGCTATGTAATAACAGCCAGGTAATGACAGCCAGGTAATGACAGCCAGGTAATGACAGCCAGGTAATGACACTTCTTCAGGAACGCTCACTGGCAACAATTTACACCTCTTTTTTCCCTCCCCCAGGGTGGTGGAGGGTCGAAGGCTCCCCTGGGGCGGGTGTACGTGGAAGACCCTGACGACTGGGACCTGGAGGACAAGACTTTCCAGTGGGTGGGACCCCCGCATCCTCTCTTCTCCCTCAACACTAACGACGGGACTATCTTCGCTTCCAGCCAGCTTAGAGAGGGAAGGTAGGTAGTGTGTGTGTGTGTGTGTGTGTGTGTGTGTGTGTGTGTGTGTGTGTGTGTGTGTGTGTGTGTGTGTGCGTGTGTGTGTGTGTGTGTGTGTGTATGTGTGGTGTGTGTGTGTGTGTGTACTCACCTAGTTGAGGTTGGGGGGGTCGAGTCCGAGCTCCTGGCCCGCCTCTTCACTGATCGCTACTAGGTCACTCTCCCTGAGCCGTGAGCTTTATTATACCTCTGCTTAAAGCATGTATGGGTCCTGCCTCCACTACATCGCTTCCCAAAATATTCCACTTACTGACTACTCTGTGGCTGAAGAAATACTTCCTAACATCCCTGTGATTCTCTGTGTCTCACTTCCAACTGTGTCCCCTTGTTTACGTGTCCAATCTCGGGAACATCCTGTCTTGTCCACCTTGTCAATTCCTCTCAGTATTTTGTAGTCGTTATCATGTCCCCCCTATTCTCCTGTCCCCCAGTGTCGTCAGGTTGTTTTTCCCAACCTCCCCTCGTAGGACTACCTCTTAGCTCTGGGACAGTCTTGTTGAAAACCTTTGCACTTTTCTCTAGTTTCTTCACGGGGTTTGGCTAGGTGTGGGTTCCAAATGGTGCCGCATACCCCAATATGGGCCTAACGACACGGTGACAGGGTCCTAAATGATTCCTTTTTAAAGATGTCGGAATGCTTTTCTGAGGTTTCAGGCCCCCATATCTGCAGCATTTTATTTGGTTGATGTGGCTTCAGAAGGGGCTGGTGTTATACTCCCCTCAGATCTTTTTCCTTGAGTGAGGTTTGTAAGCCCTCTGACCCCTAGACTGACCCCGTCGGCCTTCTTTGCCTTCCAATCTTATGACTTTGCTTGGTGGGATTGAACTCCCAGACCCAAATTCTGGAAAACCCGTCTGCAGCCGTCCAGATCCCTTTGTATTCTGCCCGGGCTTCGATCGAGTGAATTCTTCTCATCAACTTCACGTCATCTGCAAACAGGGACACCTCAGAGTCAATTCCTTCCGTATGTCGTTCACAAATACAGAAACAGCACTGGTCCTAGGACTACCCCCCTGGGGGCCCCCTGGCCCACAGGTGCCCACTTGACACCTCGCCACGTACCATGACTCGCTGCTGTCTTCCTGACAAGTATTCCCGATCCATTGTAGTCCCTTCCCTGTTATCCCTGCTTGGTCCCGGGGTTTTTGCACCAATCTTTGTGGGAACTGTGTCAAAACCCTTTTGCAGCCCAAGAAAATGCAATCCACCCCCCCCTCTCCCCTTTGTCTTACTGCTGTACCATGTCATAAACTCCAGTAGGTTTGTGACACAGGTTTTCCCGTCCTGAAACCATTTGGCTGCTGTGTGTGTGGTTGTGTGTGTGTGTGTTTTGGTGTGTGGTGTGTGTGTGTGTGTGTGCGATACCTCAAAACCCAAAATTTGGTGAAAAGGGGAAAATCGGTTTTCCAACCCCCCCAAAACTTGTCAGATAGGGAAATGCGTCTTAATAAGACCAAACTCATTTACGGCTTTTTCCAGAAGACTTTGGGTCCATCAGGTTGCCAAAATTCGCAAAGAGAAAAACAGGTTTGGTGAGAACAAAATGTAAAAAAAAAATTCCCTAAAACCCATTTTAAACCCCCATTAAACTACTTCCCCGTACATTGTCAGTGATTTACGACTCTGTTTCTGACGACGCCATAAACGTACTCTGTAAATGGGTGTCTGGGGTTTTTTTTCCCCAAAGCCGGAATCATTGGGTTTTCACGCTTGATCTTTTCCAGAGAGTCTCGGGGAGTTTCCAGGTGGAGAGAAGCGCGGGGGCAGCGGCTTCGTTCCCTGCTTATTGGAAAATATTTTTTTACATTTAGTTTCGTCTCGCTGTTTTTTTGTTGTTTTAATTACGTGTCATCGAAATAGTTTTTTACGAGATTGTTGAACATATTTTAAAGCTTTTTCCTACTTTCAAGCCGTTTTTCCAAATTAGGTTGTTGGTTACTTTTGGGCACGGTTATTTCAAAGCCTTACCCTATTTAAGGATGCTACCCAAAATCCCCCCCCCACCCACAAAGGGACAGACCCCACCCACCCCCACACATACACACCACACACACACACACACACACACACACACACACCACACACACACCACACACACACCATGCACAGACAGCTTTTTCAAGCTGTACGATGAACTTTAGGAGCAGGGGGTGAGTGCCTAGTACGATCACAAAGAAACCGGGCCAGGAGCTAGGGCCCCTTTTACAGCCCCAAAAATAGGTGGGCACCACACACCACACACACACACACACACAACATACACATACAATTACTACAAGACTCGTCCACAAAACACTTGTACTGACATGTCCTCAGTTATTTTGAAATCCAGACATACAAACCTCCCAGTATTCTTGTCGAGCATTGCGCTACACACACCTTGAGTGAGGCCTTTGTCGACTCCCTTATATTCCTTCAAGTAGTGAGACCCTTTCTGAATACCTACCAGACTCGCAGATTACACTCATCAGTGTATTTGAGTTCGACTTGACGAGATTCATAGCCGCTTTTTCGCCTCGAGAGGATTTTTCTTCTTCAGCCAGTCACGACGTGAGTGGTGTGATTGGTTGTTTCCCCGCGCCCAGGCAACCAGTCACGACACAGTAGAGCTCTATGAACGCTGTGATTGGTTAACTAGCACAATGATGACAATATATGACATATTGCGACAGCTTAAAAGGCAGCCAATCACGAAGGCGAGTTCAACACTTACCATCCAACCACGAGGAATTACCAAACCAAAAAATAACACTGCGTTGCTTCTAGTGTTTACAGTACACAGTAGACAGTACACAGTACTGTAAACATATAGGAGAAAGACTGACGACGTTCCGGTCCGACGTCGACTATTAACAAGTCACACACTGATACACGAAGGTAAGGGAGCCAGTATATATACTAGAGGAGGGCAGGGACAGCAGAAAGAGAGGTAGAAAAAAATTAAAAACGAAAGAAATGAAGATAGTAGTGGGGGAAGGGCAGCGTGTTTACAGTTTTCACCATATATACTCTAGTTGCTCGAAATTTTTAAATCTATAATGGAAGTATTAAATTCTTGGGTGAAAACAATGTTCGAAAGATGAGAGCGGCGAGAAGAGAATTCTTGAATTATTTCCAAGAGATTTTGTGGATGATTATTGTTTAATTTTGTTTAGTTATTTGTTTACGTGACCGTATGTGTATGTGTGCATGGGGGTGTAAAAGTAATGTGTGGTGTATGGTGTGTATGTGTGCATGTGTGTGTGTGTGTGTGTGTGTGTGTGTGTGGTGTGTGTGTTGTGTGTGGTGTGTATTGTGTGTGTGTGTATGTGTGTGTGCATGTGTGTAGTGTGTGTGTGTGTGTATGTGTGTATGTGTACTCACCTATTTGTACTCACCTATTTGTGGGTTGCAGGGGTCGATTCCTACTCCTGGCCCCGCCTCTTCAACCGGGTTTCTACTAGGCCCCTCTCTCCCCCGCTCCATGAGCTTATCAAACCTCGTCTCCTCAATATGTGTATGTGTGTACTCACCTAGTTGGGGGTTGCGGGGTCGAGTCCGAGCTGTTGGGGTGGGGTGTTATGTGTGTGTGGTGTTGTGTATGTGGTGTGTATTGTGTGTGGGGTATGTGTGGGGTGTGTGTGTGTATGTGTGTGTGTATGTGTGTGTGTATGTGTGTGTGTGTATGTGTGTGTACGTGTGTGTGTGTGTGTGGTGTGTGTGTGTATGTGTGTGTGTTGTGTATGTGTGTGTGTGTATGTGTGTGTATGTGTGTGTGTGTGTGTATGTGTGTGTGTATGTGTGTGTAGTGTGTGTGTGTGTGTGTGTGTATGTGTGTTTTGTGTGTAATGTGTGTGTGTATGTGTGTATGTATGTGTGTGTGTGTGTATGTGTGTGTGTTTTGTGTGTGTATGTGTGTGTACGTGGGGGTGTGTGTGTGTGTGTGGTGTATTTGTGTGTGTGTGTGTGTGTGTGTGTTTTTGTGTAAATCACCTATTTGTACTCACCTATTTGTGGTTGCAGGGTCGAGTCATAGCTCCTGGCCCCGCCTCTTCACTGATTGCTACTAGGCCTCTCTCCTCCCTGCCCATGAGCTTTACAACCTCGCCTTAAACTATGTATGTTTCCGCCTCCCACATCCCTTTCTAGGCTTTTCCAGGGCCTAACTACTCTAGACTAAGAAATACTTCCTAACACCCCTTTGATTCACTGGCTTCAACTTCCAATTTGACCTTTTGTGCGTGTCCCTCTCTGGAACATCCCGTCTTTGCCCACCTTGTTTATTCCCGCAGTTTTTTATATGTTTTTATCATGTCCCCCTGACCCTCCTGTCCTCCAGTGTCGTCGGGGCCGATTTCCCTCAACCTTTCTTCTAGGACAATCCCCGTAGTCTGGGACTATTTGTTGCAAACCTTTGCACTTTCTCAAAATTTCTTGACGGCTTCTGGTTGGGGATTCCCAAACTGGTGCGCATACCCAGTAGGGCCTGACGTAATGGTATACAGAGCCCCAAAAACGAATCCTTACTGAGGATCGGAACCTATCCGTGGGTTTGCCAGGCGCCCGTATGCTCAGCAGTTATCGTTGATGTTTGCCTCAGGAGATATCCGGTTTATACTCACCCCCGATCTTTTTTCCTTTAGTGAGGTTTGCAGTCTTTGGCCATCTAAAAATATTGTTCTGCGGGCTTTTTTGCCCTTTTCCCCCAATCTTCATGACTTTTCATTTGGCAGGGTTAAATTCAAGGAGCCAGTTGCGGACCAGGCAGTACCTGTCCAGGTCTTTTGTAGTCCCCTATCCTCGCCGATTATTCTTCTCAAACTTCGATCATCGCAAACAAGTCCTTCTGATCCCATCCCTTCCGTTTTTGTCGTTCACTAACCAAGAACAAACAGGTCCTAGGGCTGACCCCTGTGGAACCCCGCTTTTACAGGCGCCCACCTGACACCCGTCACGTACCAGACTCTTGTTGCCTCCCTGT